GTATCTTGGAAAGTATCTTGGAAGGCAGGAGTACATCATGGGCTGGAGATAATAGTCAAAGAGTTATAGAGGGAACAAGGCAAATGATGCAAGGGCCCAACAGTGGGAGGCAAAAAATCTCACACAGGCAGCAAGTGGGAAGGACCAATGGTCTTAGATGTCTCTACACTAATGCACAGAGCATGGGAAATAAACAAGATGAACTTGAACTCCTAGCACAACAAAGCAAATACAATATAATAGGCATCACTGAAGCCTGGTGGGATGAGTCTCATGATTGGAATGTAGGAATAGAGAGGTATAAGCAAGGTAATCGAGAGGGCAGTTGTTCTTCAGCTCCAAGCTGTCGGATGAAACCGATTATCTAGACCCATTTCAAACCAGCTTCAGGACAGGCTTTGGGGTCGAGACTGCCATGGTTGCCTTGACCGACGATCTGCGTCTGAGCATCGACAGGGGTAGTGTGACCCTGTTGGTGCTCCTAGACCTCTCAGCGGCTTTTGACACAATAGATCACGGCATCCTCTTGGACCGCCTGAGGGGGTTAGGTATTGGGGGCACTGCATTGCAGTGTTTCTGGTCCTTCCTCTCAGGTAGGCCCCAGAGGGTGCTGCTCGGGGACAGTAGCTCCAGGAAGAGAGACCTCACTTGTGGGGTCCCTCAGGGGGCTATTTTATCCCCGATGTTGTTTAACATCTATATGAAGCTGCTGGGTGAGATTATGGTGCTGGGTGTTATCAGTATGCTGATGACATCCAAATCTATTTCTCCATATCTCGTTCGTTGGACTCGAATTCCAGTGGCATCTCTTCTCTCAATGAATGTCTTCAGGCGGTAATGGGCTGGATGAGGAAAAATAGATTGAAACTGAATCCAGACAAGACGGAGGTGCTCATGGTAGCGGCCCCGAAACCAAGAATTGGGTTGCAACCTCCAGTCCTGGATGGGGTCACACTCTCCTCCAGTGACTGTGTTCGCAGTCTGGGGGTGCTCCTTGAATTGTCGCTCCTGATGACAAATCAGGTAAATGCAACGGTCCGGAGCGCCTGTTATCAGCTTCGGCTGTTACGCCAGCTGCGCCCTTTTCTGGAAGTAAGGGATCTCGAGACCGCTGTGCACGCGCTGGTAACCTCATGCTTTGACTTCTGTAATGCACTCTACATGGGGCTACCCTTGTGCTTAGTTCGGAAATTACAGTTGGTTCAAAACATGGCAGCCAGGCTTTTGTCGGGAACATCTAGGAGGGACCACACCACCTCGGTTTGAGGTCCCTCCACTGGCTGCCGATTGGTTACTGGGCCCAGTCCAAGGTGTTGATTATCACCTTTAAAGCCCTAAATGGCTTGGGTCCAAGCTATCTCAGAGACTGCCTCTTCCCATACAATCCTCCCCGCGCCCTCCGGTCCTCTCAGCCTCAAAAATCTAGGCTTGCAGCGACCTCCCAGAGGACTTTTTCCATTGTCGCCCCCAGGCTCTGGAATGGCCTGCCGGATGAGATCCGTCAGTTAACATCCTTGGACAGCTTTAAAAAGGCTGTCAAAACGGATCTCTTCTGGCAGGCCTTTCCAGACTAAATCACCCGGCCTCAGGACCTTAGGACCTCCCCCTTCTTAGGAATGTTTTATAGTCCCCTTTCAGAACTTGAAGTTGCAGGGGTTTATTGGTTTGTATTTGTCATTTTTAATTTGTTATTGTTTTAATTGTAAATTGTTTTAATTGAGATGTGATTTAATAACTTTTTAAAGGGGGGGGGAGTAGGGAATTATACTGTTTTAAGCTGTATGTATTTTACTGTTGTACACCGCCCGGATTGGCTCGCCACAGGGCAGTATATAAATAAAATTTATTATCATTATTATTATTATTATAACCTTTTTAAGAGAAATAGGTCAAACAAGAAAGGAGGAAGAATAGCATAATATGTCAGGGATGCTTACACCTTTCAAAAGATCCAGGACTTAAATCCTGGCAATCAGGTGGAGAACATCTGGATAAAAATTAAAGGGGAAAGAAACAACAGAGATGTTATAATGAGAGTCTACTACAGACCCCCACGTCAGACTGAGGAATTGGATGATGTCTTTCTAGAACAGATGACCACAC